GTTATGCCAAGTTTGTTTGTTTGTTTTTTAAAGCATACTAAATCAATTTGTTCTCAGTCGAGTTCTGGACAAGAAAAGGTTTGTGGCTGAAAGGGCTGTGAGAATTGCAGCAATTAATCACTGAGGTGTTTTTCCACATGCCAAACACAACCTTGAAATCAGTGTGGAACCACATGTTATGTGTAGTTCTAAGGTTCTTTTTGTGACATTTCTTTCTTTATAGAAAGTCACACAGAACTTTGGTTTGAAGAGGAGGCTGGAACATGTGGAGGGTAGATAAGAAACCTTTCCCTTTAAGCTGTTTTCATACCAATAATCTGTCCCGCTCCCTTGACAACAGTTGTTTTTGGCTCCGTTGGGGAGAATTTACAGGCAGTTTTCCACAGCAAGGCCAAAAGCACATGGAGAGTGGAATGAAGGGACCTATTAGCCAACAGACAATTTTTAGCATTGAGACTACTCTAAAAGGAAAGGATGAAATAACCCTCTACTGCCATACCATTCTCTCCTTTCAATTCACATGCCCAAGTGGCTTCATTGCCTGCCCTCGGATGAAACACGACATGGGTTATGGGTTAAACTGGGAACTTTATTCACAACAAGCTGGTCTACATAATTAATTTAACACGTCAAAACACAGGTTGCCTCTGGCTTGCAAGACATGCTTCCTAACAGGGCAAAACCATTCTGGCTCAGAACCAGATCCAGAATCTTTCCAAACCTTTCTCCTCATGGCCCACACATGAGTGCACAGAGGGGATGGAGGGGCATAGCCCCGCCCACAACTGCTAAGCCTTAAGGCTTGTCATATGTCTCCCCAACCACTGAGCCACCCAGATTGCCAAGTCAATAGGTACCTAGTTTGAGAGAAACCCCCCCCCCCCCAATCTTTAATATCTCAGGGTGTTACCAACTTGAAATTTCCCCAACCCGTGCCTTTCCTGCTGTCCCAGTTAGGGTGTAACCAGCTTTACCAGGCCTATTTATACCTCACTCCTTTGGAACATGTGGAGGAGGGGGGGGGAAAGGCCCTCCTCTCAGCCAATTTGAGCAAGAGACCAAAAAATTACTGCTCAGCTCTGAAACTGGCAACCAGCTAATTCCACATGATCTCAAAAGAGGAAGGGAGAGTGGGGAGCTCACACTGTGCTTAACTGTGGAGGAAGGCAGCCACCATCAAACCCAGCTGTCATGCTTACCTCCTATTGGCCTGTCTTCCCGCAGTGGGCCCTGATTGGATCTCCCTTCCCTTGTTTTTCATTCACAAGGAGGTGGGGAAGCGGGCAAACACTGGTGCCTGCCACACTCAGCAGGATCAGGAACCGTCTTCTGCTAAGTTAATAAATTTGAATTACTGAGCTATATGTCAATATGAGTTCCATCTCCAGTCTGGTCTATGAAAAGGTCCTGATTTGGTTACCTATTACATTGGTCAAAACCAACGAATAATGTAAAATTGGCGTAATACGTTCTTTTTGCAGAGATTACTTTTAATATTACAAAATGCATGATGATAGAGAGATGATAAATAGACAACTCATGGAAAAGTGTCTGAATCTAACATAACTTTGAACTAGATGAGTAATTTAACAGCATATTTTAAAATCAGAATATAGAAAAACTTGAATTTATACACATTTTTGGTCTAATATTTAGCTCTAACAACATAATATTTCAAATACCACTCCATGATCATAATTTTTGGCAATATAATGTTTGTTAAGGATGGAATAAGATGCTATTCCATTAGACAAAGAATTTTGCCTGGGAAATACATGAATTAACTGAAACAATGGGAAGCATATTCCACACTGATAAGCAGGAAAATTATAATTTACTTAGGCAGCTTAAAACTATAATGTTTAAGTAGCTTAATTAACTTTTACTATTCTAAATCTGCCTGCTAGTTGAACCCTGACCACAGCTAAATTGAATTCTAAGATAGACCTGAGGTAAAAAAAAAAAACCTGAGCCAGTACTTACACAACTGTAAGTGCATTAAAGTAGACAAACCCATACTTTTGAAGCACAGTGTAGGGTTGTAAATATTTCTCTTCTCCCCACACACTCTCAATGAAACAAATAAAAACCATTGCAAAGACTACAAGGATTTGTCTTAATATGGCAAATACTTTGCTTCTAGCCACTTTGTTATAAACAACCTATTATGTGAACACATGTGACACTTTGGTAAACTGTGCTGCTGTGCATAAACATTTTAGAACTTTACAAACATTTTTTTTTAGCCGGCGAACGGAATGTCCAGATCGTAAGATCAGAAGCCTAGAAAGATCTCTTTGGCATCAAGAAGCCTGTAATGGGCCGTTCCGGCCAGGCGGTGGCAGTGTGGCGTTGTGACTCGAAGCAGTCCTGGAGAAAGCTGACGTCATCAAGCCAAGACGAAGGAAAAATGCCATCTGGACCATGTCTAGTCTACAGCTGAAACAAAATCCCCGTTGGCTGCGAACATGTGCGATTTAAAGATTTATATGTCTTGTCCTTCCTTACCCCCATGAATCATTCTTAGTCCCTTGTCAATGTGTAACTGTAAATCGCTCAGAGCCTGCAGCTCTGCAAGGATTGAGTGATTAATAAATTGAAAGATTATTATTTTTATTATTATTATTTAATCATTCCCAGCCCTCCAGTATCACCCACAGCCTTTGAGTGCCACAGAGAGTGGCTACAAGCAGAACTACAGGAGAGACTACAAAGTGCTTTCCTCCTGGCCTGACACCAGCTGCTTGAGTAGCTGCAGAAATAATCCCGAGAAGCTGGCTGTAAATCTGACCCTTAGGTACATGCCCACAAAAACCAGCCAAGGGAGGCTGTTAGGTGTGGAAGCATCAAGTTATTCTACTGATGATTCTGTGACCACTGCATCAGACCCTGCCTTATTTGGGTGACTCTGGACTGGCTCCTGACCTTGTCTCTGTGATCCCTGCTTGAGAGGAACCTTTGAACTGCTTGAGTATGCCGTTCGGACAACTCCTTGGTAATGTCTTTCTTGGATCTATTTTGGCTTGGGAAAATGAAATGGCCCACACCCCATGGTCGCAAGTCCAGTTAGGCTCTTGCGGACTTCTAAAATGCCGTACCCGTTTCTGTAATGCGTAGTTTGGCTCTTAGCCCCTGCTTTTGGTGTTATTAGTTTTTTCAGGATAGCTCACAATCAACTTGCTGTGTATTTTAAATTTTTATGTGTTATATATTAAATTGCCATTTCTCAAGTTTATTAGCCAGGTGCAGTGGCATAAACCTGTAATCCCAGCTGCCAGGGAAGCTAAGTCTGGCAGATTGCTTGAGCTAAAGAATTCTTGGCTGCAGTGGGCTATATCGATCAAGAGTCCACACTAAGTTTGGCATCAATACGGTGAGCCGCTGGGAGCTGCGGCCCACCAGGTTACCCAAGAAGGGATGAACTGGCCCAGGTCGGAAACGGAGCATGTCGTATAAATTTCTTTATTTTATGGCTGAAGCTTTGAAAAATTCTTGTAACAAAATTTCAATTTAGTAAATAAACACGGGGGCAGTGGAGATACAGCAGTGGGCGTAGGTGCGGGCTACATGAAAAATAATTAAATTAATAAAATAATAAATAAATAAATTATGTCTTGAATTATGGCCATGCAGCCTATTCAGCTTTTGTATTGCAGAATTTTATCTGGTTCAAAACAAACAGCAGGTTTCTGCTCAACTTTTTCTGCAAGGATATTAAAATCACTTATTTGAAAGAAAGCTGTTTTCACAAGCATGCATACTTGAACTAAGCTTCCCTCCACCCTGTAAAATCAGAACTCAAGCTGAAGTGTCCTTAATTTTTCAAAAGCGCAGGCTGATAGTTGTCAAGCAAAACAGTATCTCTCCAGGAGAAGGAAAATATTTACTTTAGAATATTCATATCCTGCCTTTCTGTACAGCTTCTACGGAGCACATGGCAGCTATCACAGCAAGGATAAAGCTATGAAACAGGAAGTCCCTGGTTCAAATCTCACTTGCGCAATGTATTTACTAGGTGTCCTTAGGTAAGCCACTCTCTTTTATTCCTTGCAATATGGGAATAAGACTACTCACCTACCTAACAAGATACTGTATGTAAAGTGTTCTAAATGCCAGAAAGCAGTTATATAAATATAAGATCCATGTTCATGTCAATCTTTAAGAACTCTTTAAGCAGCTACCAGGATGCAGGAGTCTCATGGAGCTAGTTTGGTGTAGTGGTTAAGTGCACGGACTCTAAACTGGGAGAATTGGGTTTGATTCCCCACTCCTCCACTTGCAGCTGCTGGATGACCTTAGGCAAGCCGTAGTTCTGATAAGAGCTGTCCTTGAAAAAGAGCAGTTTCTGTCAAGAGCTCTCTCAGCCCCACCTACCTCACAGGGTGTCTGTTGTGGGGAGGTGAAGGGAGAGGAGTTTGTAAGCCACTCTGAGACTCTTTGGGTAGTGAAGGGCGGGGTATAAATCCAATCTCTTCTTCTTCTTCTTCTTAAATAACAAAAGTTTACACCAGCATAAGCTTTCACAGACTGGTCTAGTTCTTCAGATGCAATGAGTGGATTTTACTACATAAAATTTCTACATCTGAAAAAGTGGGGTATAGGCCACAAATGCTTATGTTGAAATAAATTTTTCTTAGTCTTTAGGCTGCCACAAAATTCCTTGTTTATTAATTGTGCTTTAAATAGTATATATTTGTTTTAAAATTAAATTCAGCTCTGTGGAGCTCAGAAAACATACAGCTTATCCTTTAATTTTTGTTCCTATGCAACCCTGATGGACAAATATTTCAGTGTACTTTTTAAAAGTACTGGGTTTGGAAGTGTTCTTAAGGAGGTCAACCCAAATCAACAGATCTATAAGGGCTGTGAGAATTTTTTTTACTAATGACAATGCGATAGAAAAACACCTACTCACCCACCTTTTTCTCTGAGAAATTACAATGGGAGCCCTATACACACACACACACTCCACAAGCAACCAGTAACTGTACTAAATTTACCTTTATTCTATGAAATCGAACAACGTCACCATTTTTGTAGATTTTTGGAAGGGCATCTCTGTTTGCATTAAAAAGTGTGCAAATCAACTTAGTGTCCGACTGGTCCACAATTGTTACCACTAAACAATAATCTGTAAAAGACAAAAAAAAGTTGTGAAAAATACAATTACCTCAGAAAGCATGGATTGACATTTACTTTGCTTTCCCTGAAGTCCTTATACAAAGTAAACATCACCAGAATAAGAGTTATCCTGAGAGACACAACCAGACAGAAAATCTGTGTGGTACAACCGGTTGCCTCCAAATCAGTGGTAGATCTGGGCCTTTCCCTGGGTAGAACCCATAGAAGGAATCAATGTCACTTGCCAGATTTTGCTTTCAGCAAATAGCATGGACACATTTGTACAACTGCTCACCTTGGGAACATTCGTTCCAAGAAAACAAAGAGGATAAGCTAATTAGCCTTTAGTTGTTTCAACAATATGTATATGAAGATAGCAGAAGTATGTACTTTCAGAAACTATAAAGGCAGAAAGAAGCACTGAGTATACACATGAGATAAAATGTTCTAAGATCTGTATGTCTATATTGGTAAAATACATTTCAGGTGGGTAGCTATGTTAGTCTGTACTACTAGTAGAACAAAATTCAAATGCAAAGGATCAATAAAAATTTCCAGGGTATAAGCTTTTATGAGTCAACGCTCTGAAAGTGTATACTCTTGAAAATTTTATTGGTAGAACAAAAATAACACGCATGTCTCTGTCCTGCTAGATTTTGAAAGAGGTTTGCCATAGCGAACACATGCATTATATGCCATTAAGTCACTTATGGCTACTGTATGAATTAATATCCTCAAAAACGTTTTATTTTTAAGTCTTGCTCAGCTCTTGCAAACTGAGGGCCACAGCTTCCTTTATACAGCCAATCCATCTCATATTGGGTCTTCCTCTTTGCCTGATGCCTTCAACTTTTCAAGCATTACTGTCTTTTCCAGTGACTCTTGTCTTCTCATAATGCAACTGAAGTGTAGTGGGTTAGACGCATGTAGAAACCACTGAGACCGATGTAGTGATCAGCATGGTTTACTGGTACACTACAAAGACAAAGACTAAAAGCCAGCTGGCCAACTATATACACACCCTGGGATGCCCCCCTAGGTCCCGTTGGTGGGTTTAAATCTCCCGCCACGGTCCTATTGGTTCCCAAGTGGAGAGACTAGGAGCCTAGTCCCCATTGTTCATACAGAGTCAAGCTCTGGGGTATTCGCTGGCCCCTGGTGGTGGTCAGCAGACATAACAGCAACCAAAATACAATAGCTTCAGTTCAGTCATTTCAGCTTCTAGGGAGAGTTCAGGATTGATCTGATCTAAAGCTGACTTGTTTGTCTTTTTGGCAGTACATGATATCCATTAAACTTTCCTCCAACACCATATTTCAAATGAATCAATGTTATTCCTGTCAGTATATATCTAAATCTCTCATTCTTAGATGTTGTAATTCCCCACTACTCTTTGATGGTTAAAGGTTAGTAGGAAAATAAATTCATATATTTAAAGCAAAGCCAGATTCATTGTCTTTTCTCATGACAGTCAGGAAGCCACATCATAAATTAAGCATATCAGGATGTAAAGACAACTTAATTAGTCCTTCAAGAATATCAGCCACATGTCTTGTGTATGTTCTGAGGAACAGCAACTGCATGACAGCCACAACTACTTACTACAAATACAACAAATAGTTGAAGCACAGCTTTCTTTATGGATGTCACAAATAGGTAGCAGATTTAGAAGTCTATCAAAACAAAATATTTGACGAGTGTCACATATTCCAATTAACTCTCTTGGGCCAAGTCTGATCAGCTGCCTATTGCATCAAATCAGGCTACATCTGTCAAGAGGCTTCTTGGTGACTTCTGGTTTATGGCGACACACAGGCAGATGCATCTCCCAGACGTCCCGAGGATGCAAACTCCACACCAGCGTGTAGGAGGGGGTGCAACTGGTAAAAGGCTCCTAGCCAGGGGGCTTTTGAGGGGTGACCTCTTCGATGGCGCGATGCCAGAGAATTGAGGCACTCCTCTGCCCTGAAGGTCCTGCCGCTGAGTGACCGCATGGTACTAGTGGTGCTTACCGAGACAAGCGTTGGAGATTGGGCGGAAAAAACGATGCCAAGCAAGGCCGGTTGGCCAACAACAAACTGTGAGTCAGGTTGAAGCGAGCATGAAGATTTAAAAAGAAAGCTGCCCCCCATAAAGTGCAACAAAAAGCGAGCGGGGGAGGGGCCCCTCCCAAGCACACAAATGAAAACACGGAAATATAGCGGGGGAGCAGAAAAATAAGCGTTTAAATCTGTTTTAAGAGACTTATCAGAGCGCAGATAAGTGTACGGGCAAATATCAGAGACTTTAGTAACTTTAAAAAGTAAACAATCCAAAAAGATGGCGGGGAAGAAACCAGATAAAGACAAACTGTTGAAGGGGGGTTGTACACATGCACTGAGGAAGACGGTTGCTTGCCCGACCTCACCTTAGAATAATTATCTTAAAAGCTCAAAAAGAACGTGTTTAGTCCGCCCTCAAGGACAACTAAAAGAAGAAACCAACATACGGACATCTGGGGAACAGAAGGAATTCCACTCTGAAGCTTCAGAGGGTAAGATAGCAATTATTTATCACTGTTTTAGGGAGGCAACGCCCAGGCCAAACTCCCAGCCCTTATCTGCTTCACTGGAAGATAATAAGAGCAATGGCAAAAAATATAAAAGAACTCTCTGAGCAGATATCTGCATTCCAGAATATGATGATAACCTCTCAGGAGCAGATAAAAGTGGAGATTAAGACAGTAAAAGAAGCAGTTTCAGAACTGGCAGTTGAACTTAAAGAATCAAAACAGAGGGCGATTGCAGCTTCTGAGCTTGCTACAAACCCCCCCCCAGATGATTAAACAGTTAAACACCCAGCTTACGGAGTTATTAGACAGGAAGGGAAGAGCAAACCTTGTTTTTGCAGGGATTTCAGAAGAGATAAATAATAAGCTCCTAGAAGAAACACTTAGAGCATGGATAGAAGAAAATGGGGTTCAGGTGCAACCCCAAGACATTGAAAGAGCCCATAGACTGCAAAGGAGAAAGGAAGGAGGAGCCCTAAGGGACATTATAATTAAATTCAGAAGAGAAAAGCTACAGCAGGAAGTATTTAAGACATTGAAAAAGAAGAAGGACCTGATCCTCAGAGGGAGAAAGGTCTGGGTTAGAGAGGACTTTTGCCAAGAAACTATCAAGAAGAAAAACCAAATGAGACCTTATGGGCAAAAACTATATGAAAATAATGTGAAATTCTCATGGGGGTATCCAGCTTCAATATTAATATTTAAAGAAGGCAAGAGGCTGACAGCACAAAACCCTAAAGAAGCAAGGGAACTCTTCAGGCAACTGGGTATCGATACAGAAGACCTGAGAGAACAGAGAGAGGAGGA